TAATGCATACAACACTTGCATTATAAAAGATGAATTGGTTGATGCACTTCACTAATGCATACAACACTTGCATTATAAAATCTGAATTGGTTGATGCACTTCTCCAATAAATCCCACCAGCAGCCCTAGCTTTCTTCTCTTCATCCATTCATCCAAATTAGGCCTTAACATGCTTGAATTGCATGAATTATGCTCTCTAAAGCCATCATTATTACCTAAAGCTCAATGAACTGAAAGATAAACACAAAAAGGATTAAAAGCACAAGTTTAACTCAAAAACATAACCAAAGCATAAGCTAGAAGGGTACAAAATGATATACAATTATGAACCGATCAGTTCCCAAAGATATGCTTGAAATGATCGTACCAATTCTTCATCCTTTAAGTTATTCTATGCATTCCTTATCATGTGTCATGAGCACAACTTATGATTGCACATGGGCAACACATACTCAATTACTTTGTGCGCATCGCCTCATCCCCATCCGTTAGTATTGATGTAGGCTTCTTGCCTTTCATGGAGGATATGAATGTCTCCAATAACTATTTTTATGTTCCAAAGGTCTCGTCAAGCAATAGGGCACAACCAACACTCGCCCGGTGGTTGTTTGAACCAACAAATAACACTAGAGGCTTGTCATACATATTGGTTTTGTATGTGCTGTCGAATATGAGGACGTCTCCAGAGGCAACATAATCCAAAAGTGAAGTAGAGTCTCTCCAAAACAAGTTATCAAGCCTATTCTCATCATCTACACTAAACTTACAAAAAAATTCAAGATCCATTGATGCTTTCGCTTTCATGTAGGCGAGTGTAGCTTCAGTGTCGCCGTCTAACAATATTTCCTTACGTGATGCATCCAACTTCTTCCTTAAGGATCCAAGTCATCAGCTCATGTATTGATAGAGGCTTAAATCCTACACCATATGCGGCAATCCCTTCCACTATAGGTAGCCAAAATGGATCATTTATAATATTAAATGGGAGTGCTCTAGAGAAGAAAAAACAACCAATCTTTCGACAAACTTCCTTTCTTTCTTCTTGTTAGTATGCTGAATTTAATGTACTTTGCCGAGCTTTTAAAGTGATAAATCTATCCATTGGTCCTTTTGATTTAGGTTGTGCTCTAAGAGCCTCATCAACTGCAACACTCCTAGTACCGGAGATTCTATATTCTTTATCTAATGAAGTTTCCATACTCTGAGCCCCTCCTCGTGGACCATCCCTAATCTCTCTAAGCATTTCATTTTTCTTTCTTTTTTCAAGCTGTAAATTTTTCAAAGTTGCGGTACACTCTTTTTTCACATGCTCATGAACTTTCTTACATGGTTGCATACCATGATGTGTTTGACCCAAATGATGCTTAAGTCTAGAAATTTCTCCATTGCATCTTTGTTCACAAAATGTGCATCTCAAGTATTTTTTCCCCCTCTATTTCTTTTGCATACTTCCACGCATGACCTTTTCGATTCATAGCTATAAAACAACACCATTAATATTTCTAAAATACAAGTATGATGCATGTACGTCAAATTTCTACTATATCACATAAACGAATAAGATAACTAATATATTGAAAAAAAAATTGAAAAAAAATTATACGGACCTTCAAATTACAGTTGCGAAGAATTAGAGAGAAAAATAAAATGGCTTACTTGCAGTCGAAAGATAAAGAGAATTCTTGAAATTGATGGAGATTATCTGGTAAGGGTAGAAATTAGGGTTGTACTATACAATATATATATACTAGCTCATTGGCACATGCTCACATATGTGCCAATTGGTTTTTTTTTTTCATTAATTTTTTTTAGTATTAAGAAAAGATAACATGGGTAATTATTATCTGATTTTGTTTTTAATTTTAATTTTTTTAATATAAAAATGTGAATTTACGATATTATCCTCATTTAATTAATAATTTCAATTCTTAATTTTTGAATTAACCAAGGGTATTTTCTAGTATTTTGAATGTTTCACCATTTTCTGCATTTTGCTTTATATATATAAGTTCATGTGTTAATATATTAATTTAGAAAAAAAAAGGGTAAGTAGAATAAAGCTAAAGCCGGCTGGATTTAGAAAAGGCAAGAAAGATATTAATTATTCTTGCCTTAAGTTTATTACAATTAAGGTTAAAAAAAAAAAACAGAAATTTGCGTTTTCTTTCTCAAAACACTCCAAGTGAAACGACGTCGTTTCAGTTAGAATTGTTTTTAAAACGTAATCAAAACGACGTCGTTTCGTTTAAAGTTAAAACACTGCAATCGAAACGACGTCGTTGATAACAATAAACCTAAATAACAAACACGTGAGTCGTCTTCCTCGCAGAGTCGCAGCCCATTTGCAGACTCGCAAAATCTCTTCCGGTTCAGAAGTGTCCAGATCTGGCTCGCCTGGCCACGCCTTGCAACGCTCCTTAAGCCTTCCGCGCGCTAAACGTGCAACTCGCGAAACAGCTGATCGCCTCGGGCGATTTCCTGCCGCCTCGCTCCGATGCGCTCGCCGACGCGCGCGAAGGCATGCTTTTAAAAACACTGCTTTGGACAAAGAAAAAGATTACAATTTTCAGTTCCATTTGTCGATTACTTCATCACCCCAACTAAAACCCCAAAATTAACCCACCATCCCATTCACCAAAAGCAGTGTTGGGAATTTGTGATGATTTTGGATCTCAGCTGAAGTGTTTGGTTTAGTGTTTGAGTTAGAAATGGCAGCTAGACAAATGGAAGAGATACAGAGGAAGCTGGCGATGCTGAATTACTCGAGAGCCAATGCGCCTGCTCAGTCTCTCCTCTTCGCCGGCATGGAACGCTATGCTCTTCTCGAATGGCTGTTCTTCCGGTACATGACATGCCGTTTACTTCTTCTTTGACTTTTCTGATTCTCCGTCCATGCCCCATTTTTGACTGCCCTGGTTCATGGTGTAATTGCAGCTTGTTGGGGGACAAGTCACCCTTTTCTCAACAGAGTCTTCAAGGGGACGCCATGGATCGTGACGAAGAGACTGCTCGCATCCAATGTAAGGCTTTTTTGTTTGTAGAATGTTGAATTGGGTCGTGCTGAAGTTGTTCAGAATGTGATGAAAATGAACCTGGGTCTGTTTAGATCATCAAATGTAGGCTATATACATAGTGGAAAACATGATATTCTCACACTGCTGTGTTCTTTTTGTTTCGTTTTCACTCTGCAAGATTTGATTTTTGAATTCCATGAAATGGTGGATCCAAATTATACTTTCCCTGTTCTAATATTAATTTCAAATGAAAATGTGGGCTACGATTGTTTTGCTCAACTAGTCTTTCAAACTCTTGATATCTTCCTGATGATAATTCAGATGACAAACTTTTGTGAAGACTTCCAATAGTAAAGAATATATGCAGTATTAAGATGACAAACCGATAATGCAGAACCTTTGATCTCCCAAATAAAGCTAAAGGAAATCAAAATTCAGAAGAAAAATTAAATCTTGATGGAGAAAACTATGCATATCCATATCCTAATATAAAAAAAAGATAGAGGCATCCTACAGCTATTTTGCACAATCTTAACTCAGTATTACTTCAAAGAAAGCAAGCGCAGTTATGATATTGCTTGTACTTGAGAATATCTTAATATATTTATGTTGGTACCATAAGCACCCAAATGCTTTATCCTTGATGGACTTTTTAAGATACTTTTGTAGAGCATCCTTCCGTTCTGCCACCTTTTTTTTAGCTACTTATTCTTCTTCTAAAGCCAGCTGGTATATATGTTGACTCTTTAAAGTTCCAAATTTTTCTTAGTATGTGGGTTATATATGATGAACTTTCTATTTTGCACTGTTTTTAGTCATGTGGTGGGATAATCTGACCATGTTTCTCTTAATTGTTACTATAACAAATGATGACCTTCCGTTTTGCAGATTTGGCAGAGATTGCAAAGTTTTTGGGTATTACTACTACTTCAGACACAGAAGCCATCCAAGTTAGTTGTGGATTTATGTTGATTTAGGAGTATTTATTCTGGCTTATATGGGTGATTTTTTTTTCTTTAGTTTGGCTGTACAAATTAAGTGCATTTTTACTTATCACATTTGAATTTATTGTTTATTGAAATTAACCTTTCGTAGAATCTGTTGGGAAACTAATTTTTTAGGATATGATAGTATCATGGATTGATCTTATTATACTAGTAAATTTTGGTAACTGGTACTCTTTTCTTAAAGGATGCCAAGCTTTTTAAAATTGTTGTATTATCTGAATCCTTTTGCTTATATGATAAAATTGGAATCTTATCCTCTTATTGGAGGTTCCTTTACATCCAAATATTCTAGATTAGTCCCCCAGATACGATCAGAGTAGTCAAATATGAATCTCCCTTAATGTACCTCCATGGGAATAGTCAATTTGAAACAAAGTTATACTGGCAGATCATCAAAAACTTTTTATCAAGGTAGACTAGACAGAATATAATCAAAGATGACGTAAAAATTTGTTTGCAAGATGCACATTATGCACCTAGTTGGCACTCTAGACAAGATGAACATAGTTAGGAATAAAAATGTTTTATTGGACCATCATGCATTCTGCACTCGACGTGAAATCTAGCAACTCTTTACTCTGTGAGTTTCCTCCGCCCTTTCTGAATGCAATACCTTTTTGTTGCAGGGACGAGGAAGCTATGAAGATCGCACTGAAATGCTTCGTCTTATTGTAGATCTTGTGGAGGCAAGCGTTTATGCTGATAATCAAGAATGGAGGTTAAGGATGATACTAAGTTGTGTTGGGAAGTTTTTATTTTTTAATAAAGGAACTCCTAGCACTTCTATAATTTCAAATTTCATTCTATCTTATGCATGTGATTTTATTTTATTTTATTATTATTATTAATTTTTTCTGATTTCAAACAATCATGTTGGCCTGAGATCTGGTATGAACTGTGATTTCTGCAGTATTGATGAGCAGGTAGCGAAGGACATACAACTGATTGATTCCATTGCTGAGAGACAAGCTCAAATATTCTCCGAGGAGTGCAAATTATTCCCTGCTGATGTTCAAATTCAGTCCATATATCCATTGTAAGAATATCTATTTCCCAGTTCGGTTTCAATTTATCTCCTGAAGTAAAAGAACAATTGCTTCATTGAAAGTTTATTATTCCACTAAAAGAAGACCTCATAGATGCAGTGTAAGAGTATCTATTTTCGGTTTGTGTTTCAACTCCCCTGAAGTAAAAAGAATAATTGCTTCATTGAAAGTTTATTGTCAAACCAATTGTCTTTTTGGAAAAAACCACCTCTGATAAAATCCAATCCTAACCAGTCTAGATAATGCTTAGACGGGTTGATTGCATAAGTCAAGTTTGAATTACTTATTTCATTAGATACAATAACATTCTGTTCGTTTAATCAAAGTTCATTTGCAGGCCTGATGTTTCTGAATTGGAAAAAAAGCTTTCAGAACAATCAAAGATACTCTTAAGTCTTCAACAGAAGGTTGACGATTTGGCATCAAAGGTTTGTTTCTGTTCCTCAACTTAGATCTTCTTGCATTTGACAATAATTTATTATTTTTCTTACGATTTGTATCCTGGAACTATTCTACTAATTGATCAGCTTCACATAGTTCTCTTTGTGTATATAATTATTCCAGCTATTCATATGATTATTCTCTAACCAAATTGTACAATTTAAATCAGTGAATAAATTCATCTGCATTTTAAAACAATATCCTACTGCTGCTTTTTTCTCTTGTACACATCACCCACTCTTTTGTCATTACCCTCAATCATATTGTTCATGAAGGTAGTCAGTTTCTTTAACTCCTGCCACCTAAAAGCACCACCTCCCTATCTTTCCTCGATAGTGCCAAAGGATGCCCAAAGATTCATTATATTTTAGTATATTTGTTATTCCAAAGACAGTAAAAAAGTATATTTGTTTTAACATTCCTTTGTTGCCACTTATTCACTTTGAATTTCTTTTTCTGATTTTCTTATCTTTCCCAATGCCTCCCAAGTCCATCAAACACTTGGCAGTGAATGCTCCCTCAAATTTGGGTTGTCAGTGACTCAGTGTACATTTTATTTAATTATAACTTCCCCCAAGTTGTGCAGTTGATTCCTTCTTTTTCTTGCTCTGATTACGCGCTATTGCATATAGCATGCATACAACCCAGATGAGGATTATGCAGAGGTGGAGTCCAGATTGCGTGCACATTTGGAATCTTTCCTAGAAACTGCAAGATCATTCAATACGATTTACACTAAGGTTTGACCTGCTCTTTCCTGTCGTATACACTGCCTTTTGACAATCTGCTATTGCTTCTTTTCTTTTCTTTTCCTGGTTGCTGTACCAAATTAAAAGATTTTGGCATACTTGTTACTGATAATGTATATCTAAAGAGGAAACGTGATGCGCTTGTGATACATGATCTTGTTGTCTTAAAAGAAAGAGAAAAAGAATTGTATATTTGCTTTCACCATAATGATTGAAGTTTATGCTTTTGGGTGGATTCCTTATTCACGTATCTGTCTTGGTTGGCATATGAGATAGTTTTTATGCTTCTGTTCCAGCTCCTTGTTAATTAGAAATTCACTTTTTAGCTACTACAGTGGATTGTTGACATTTATTTGACGTGCATGAGTCCGTAATACTTTTTTGTTAGTTGTTTTGCATGTGTATTAGGTATGTACGCTTATCTGCAACCTTGAAATGTCATGCTTTTGTAGGAAATACGTCCCTGGACACACATGATGGAGGTACCCCAGCTCCATGGGTTTGGGCCAGCTGCCAATCGCTTGTTAGAGGCATACAAGATGCTTTTAAAGGTATCTCATTGCTAATTAAATTATTTATCTGTTCATTTTTTATAGTACATTATGAGGATTATTAGACTAATACCGATGCGTAGTTAAATTATTTACCTGTTGTGTTGGAGGAGGAAAAAGTGAAGGAAGGTGGGGGTGGGGGAAAATAATTTTCTTTGTTTTGAAGTAGGAGGGAGGAAATAGAAAAGAAAGTGGGCGACGTACTTTTCCCTTGAGCTGGAAAAAGCATTCCCCTTGAGGTCAGGAAAGGATTTTCCTTGAACGCGGGGAAGCCCTTTTTTATTCCAGAATAGAATACGAGAAACAGGGAGACCACATGTCTAACTTATTTTTACCCTTAGAAATCGGGGACCAAATTTTTTTGTACATTAAGAAAGAGGCGGTATGGTAATTGAACCATTTCTGGATTTCTTTGCTTCCCCTCTCTTCCCCTGAACTCAAGGGCCACCTCTGAAAGTGAGACATTGCATTGTCTATGTAGCAATTGGACAAAAAGGCTCAACCGTGGCACAATTAGTTCAAATTCTTTCAAAAGATTAAACAAGGAACATCCATTCTCCTTATGTTTCCAATCCTCCCATGTTCTTCAACCGAACAGTAACCTTTGCCAAAATCGTCCATTGAATTCTCTCCTCCCATTCTCTCTCTTGCTCCTCAACATGGTATTACTTCCTGATGACCTTTTGTGTGTGTATTTTTGCGTGAGAGTGTGTGGTGTAGGTGCAAGGGGGTGTGGAGTTTCTAGGTGAGGTGAGGTGGAGTTACTTGGGTATGGAGCAGTGCAAATGAATAAAGTGAATGATACTGCATTTTTACTAGTATCATGGATTTTTACTAGGACTTTTGGCATGACCATGAATTTCTAATAAGGTGTCTCGTTTCCCTTGCATTGACTGCAGTTCCTAGGGAACTTGAGGAATCTTAGAGACTCCCACGCAGCTCTTGCTGTCGGATCATCTGACTCAGTTGCAGGTGAGCCCTCATCTGTCACGAGAATAATCTCTGAATGTGAATCTGCATTGACATTCTTAAATCGTGACCTTGGAATTCTCTCGGCTTCCATTGCTCGCGAGCAAGGTGGGGAGGTGAATTTATAACAATTATTATAGTCATTGGGAGGAGGGCCATGAATTCAGTCTCTTCCTCATCTTCTGGGAATGCAGATGCATGTTATGAAAATGTAGTTTATTTGTGTTGCATGAAAGCGAACTAAATGTAATATCGATTATGAGTTCATATTGTCAACCATGATAGTCTTGTGTGCGTTGATCTCTCACCATGTTCATTAGACTAAGAGTGGAATTTATGGGAAGAAGAAAATCAAATGTTCCTTTTCATTTTGAGCACGGATTTTTCTGGTCCAAGATTAGTGATGGCATGATTAGAAATGTTGAGCAGGGGCCTGCCCAACAATGTCATATTTGGGGATCTGAGTATCATCTGAGTAAATTCTATGGACATGGCGTGATTGTTTATTTACTTTTCAGTAAAATGAAGCATACCCCTAAAAACTAATGCTTGAGTCTCACTTGGCACATGTGGGTTATGCCAGTTGGTCAGGGTTGTGAGTTCAGTCCCTTACACTCAAGTTTGAATCTCCATTTCCGTAGATTAGATTAATATAGAGTAGTAGATTATGCTTGTATTAAAAAACAAAACCTGAGTCTCGCTTGAGTTCCCAAATTAGTTTTAAATTATATTTCCAGATTTTCTTCGTGCATGTGGGACTACAAGCACTAGGAGCCCAATGTCCAAAGCCCATCTGGGTGTGCTTCAAAGAAAGAGACCACGTCACTTGCAGCTATGGCCATGATGAGACGAGAGAAAAGGGAAGGGGACGGGAGTGGATAGTGAGAAGCCTGAGAAGAAACCAATTTAGTCCTGAATAATTTAGTCAGGTGTGCGTCATATGACCAATTTTGAGAGCACTGTACTGAAATTGACTTCAAGAACTAACCACTTAAAAACAAAAAAATTAAGCAGCTAAAAAATTATAGTAAATTAGGAAAAGCACTATACAAAAACATTTGGAGAGGTAATGGGAAGAAAAAGCCCTCAAAAGTAGAAGGTGTTTTCTAATTAATTTTTTAGTTTTTCAAATGTAAAGATAAAAAATTTGGCCAAAAAAAATGTAAAGTTAAAAAGGACTTATATGTGAAAAGCCCAAAAATTTAATTGAGGGAAATAAGTGAGATTCAAGTATTATTGATATATTTTTCTAACTATTGTCCCACACGTTGTAGGCAAAAAACTTCAAAATCAACATCAGAAAGAAAATTTTGTTGCTTTTGAAATTTTTCGCACATGCGGACAATACTTCAAAAAGTAGATAATAATACTTGGATCTCTTCAAACTTTGAAAAGAGAAATATCATTAGAATCTTTTTTAAATCATATTTGTACTTTTATTATTAAGGTGTTCAAGTTCAGTCATTTACAAATTCTATAAAAAAAATTAAACTTCCTTATCTAAACACAATGTAAAGAAATTTCAACGCCAAAATTAGTAAAATTTCCAAGAGATTTATCTATATTTCTTAAAGACTTGGAAAGTTTCAAATAAAACAAAGAAATTGAATAAAGAAACAACCATCCAAGTGCAATTTCAGTTTATTTATTACCTTAATCAGTCAAGTACTCAATCATTCTTCTTAGGATAAATATACAGTAACGTTGAAGTGCTAATCAATTATTGAGTTAATATGACGCTAACTATATGTTTCGCCAAAACTATAAACTTTCATATCAACCCTTTTTTTTTTTGTTGGGTTTTTGCCAACGCTTCACATGAACGAGGAGAATAATCATTGGTCAACTTCCCTCCTATTTGAAAGAAATGAAACTTGTGCCAATTGATTGATGTACATGCTACTAATATAGAAGTGGAAAAAAAGCCCAAAAAACAAAAAATTGAAAAAGAAGTGCAAGAAGCAAACAAAACCATGACATCTTATATATATATATAACATAACTAAAAAGTAGACAGACTGGAATCAAAATGAGCACTAAGTCAATATGAAAAAAGATTGATACAAAGAAAATCTTAACTAATGTTACTAATGTTACTAATCTTAACTATACAAAGAGAAAATCTTTAAAATTTCGTTCGATCGAACTTAGAATATCTTCTGACAAAAGAAAAGAAAAATGTGCCACTAGAAAGCTCCTTATCTCATAAATATACTTTTATTATTAAGCTGTCAAAGACAAGATTTGTAAAATTTCCAAGAGATTATTTGTATTTCTTAAAGACTTGGAAAGTTTCAATCATACAAAGAAATTGAATAAAAAGTCTACAAAGATACAAATCTCAAGTGCAGTTTAAGTTTATTTATTACCTTCTTTAGTCAAGTACTCAATCTATATATCCTTAGAATACAATAACGGTCAAGCGCTGGCTTCACTTGAACTGGAGAACAATCATCGGTCAACTTCCCCATTTGAAAGAAATGAAACTTGTGCCAAGTGATTGATGTACATACTAGATAAGAGTGACGAGAAAAAATCCAAAAAACTACAAATTGAAAAGGAAAGTGCAAAAACCAAACAAATCCATCACACATATATATATATAAAGCAAAAGGTAGAGAATGGTGAAACATTCAAAATACCAGAAAATGCCCTTGGTTAATGCAAACATTATGAATTGAAATTATTAATTAAATGAGGATAATATGGTAAATTCAAACTTTTTCATATTAAAAAAAAATTAAAATGAAAAGAAAAATCAAATAATGGATCCTATTTTTATGGAACACAACTACCAATTATCTTTTTTAATTCTAAAATAAATTTTAAAATTTTTTAAAAAAGCCTCTTGCATGTGCGAAAGCACGTGCAGAGAGGCTAGTATCTATATATATAAAGCAAAAGGCAGAGAATGGTGAAACATTCAAAATACCAGAAAATGCCCTTGGTTAATGCAAACATTAAGAATTGAAATTATTAATTAAGTGAGGATAATATGGTAAATTTACACTTTTTCATATTAAAAAAATTTAAAATTAAAAGAAAAATCAGATAATGGATCCTCTTTTTATGGAACGCAACTACCCATTATCTATTTTAATTCTAAAATAAAATAAATTTTTTTTTAAAACAAAGCCTCTTGTAAGCGCAGAAGCGCGTAAAAAGAGGCTAGTATATATAAAGCAAAAGGCAGAGAATGGTGAAACATTCAAAATACCAGAAAATACCCTTAGTTAATGCAAACATTAAGAATTGAAATTATTAATTAAGTGAGGATAATATGGTAAATTTACACTTTTTCATATTAAAAATAAATAAAATTAATAGAAAAATCGGATAATGAATCCTATTTTTATGGAAAACAACTACCCATTATCTTTTTTAATTCTAAAAGAAATTTTAAATTTAAAAACAAAAAAGCCTCTCGCAGGTGCGGAAGCACGTGCGGAGATGGAACACAACTCCCCATTCTCTTTTTTAATTCTAAAATAAATTTAAATTAAAAAAAAAAAAAGCCTTGTACCTAGCTTTCGATTCACCCCTTATCTTTTTTTTTTGTTGAGAAAATTAAGGATATTAACTTTTTTTTTCCCGCCAATTTCCCCCCTACCGTCTAAATCCTCAACATTTCATCCAATTTGCAGTTAAATATAAGGGTATATTGGTAATTTCATATATTAAAAAATAATAACTATAGAAATAAAAATAATTTAAAAAAAATTTGAAATAATAATGATAAATAAACCCTCTATTCCACAGCCACCAACATCACCGCCCTCTCTTTGATCTCTTCCCCCCTCCTCTTAGACATCCACCAACATCACCATCCACTCCACCCTTTATCTCTTCTTCCCCCAAGTGCCCACCCCCTCTTCCTTCTCCCTCCCACTTTCTCTCTTTTCGCCTCTCTCTCTCTCTCTTTCCCCCTGCCAAGGTTGCAAAGAGGAAAGCCAAAATTAATAATAAATATCTTGAGATTTTTTGGGTGGCTATTTAGGATTTTGATCTTGAATTTTTATTTTGGGTGGCTGTTTGTCATTCAACTTCTTTTTGCCGATGCCCTTCTTTCCATTTGATACGTGTATGTAACAAGAGCTTTCATACTTGAGACGAAACTGTGATATCTCAAGTGGTTAGAGACTCGTGCTTATAACATGTTATATAACTAAGGGAAATTGTAGAGAGAAATAGGAGGAATAGAGGAAGACAATAGAAATTATTCTCTAAACTTGTTATCTTCTTCTTTGATAATCACCTATTTATAAGCTTACAATGATAGGAAGCTAACCCACAAATTATGAGTTAAAGGCCATTAATTACATAGGTTACAATGTATCAAAAAGTGGAGGTAATGGATGTAATGGTGGTCATCCACATTCTATGTATTTATAACAAGATTCAAGTATAATTGATCTATTTTTCTAACTATTGTCCAAATGTTGTACGCAAAAAACTTCAAAATCAACATCATAAAGAAAAATTTGTTGCTTTTGAAATTTTGCGCGCATGTGGACAATACTTCAAAAGGCAAAAAATAATACTTGAATCTCTTCTAACTTTGAAAAGAGAAATATTATTAGAATTTTCTTTAAATCAGATTTGTACTTTTATTATTAAGGTGTCCAAGTTCCATCATTTACAAATTCTATAAAAAATTAAACTCCCTCATCCAAATACAATGTAAAGAAATTTCAACGCCAAATAAAATTTCCAAGAGATTTATCTGTATTTCTTAAAGACTTGGAAAGCTTCAAATCATACAAAGAAATTGAATTAAAAAAAGTCTAAGAAACAACCATCCAGAAGAATAATCATTGGTCAACTTCCCTATTTGAAAGAAATGAAACTTGTGCCAATTGATTGATGTACATACTAATATAGAAGTGGGAAAAAAGCCCAAAAAACAAAAAATTATAAAGGAAGTGCAAGAAGCAAACAAAACCATGACATCTTATATATATAATAACTAAAAAGTAAACGGACCGGAATCAAAATGAGCACCAAGTCAAAATGAAAAAGATGTTACAAAGAAAATCTAAACTAATGTTACTAATTTGTAATGAGAAAATCTTTAAAATTTCATTCAAACTTAAAATCTCTTCCAAGGAAAGAAAAGAAAAAATTGCCACTAGAAAGCTCCTTATATCATAAATATACTTTTATTATTAAGCTGTCAAAGACAAGATTAGTAAAATTTCCAAGAGATTATTTTTATTTCTTAAAAGACTTGGAAAGTTTCAATCATACAAAGAAATTGAATAAAAAGTCTACAAAGATACAAATCTCAAGTGCAGTTTAAGTTTATTTATTACCTTCTTTTGTCAAGTACTCAATCTATATATTCTTAGAATACAAT